AAAATGGCGGCCGCCATGAAGGCGGGCCTGGGCTGGTTGGGCCTGAGGGTGGGCTGGCAGGTGGGGGCTGGTGAACGGGGCTGGGGGCCGGCGGGACGGACGGAGGGGAAGGGGATGAGGAGCCGTGAGGGGCTGAGGAGCCACGGGGGGAACGAGGAGCCGCGGGATAAGGGATGTGGGGAGTCAGGGATGAGGGAACACGGCAAGGCCGCGGGACGGGGATGGCGACAAGTAGTGGCGCTGGGTGTGTTTACAGCCGCTCTGTGCTTGGGAGGCGTGAAATCAATAAGGCAAGATGTTGGAGCTGTTTCTTGGCCACTGGTTAACTCTACGGCTTCGTTATTTCTTTCCCTTAGGCTGCCGAGTCCATCCTCCGTCCCGCTGGAGCGGCTCCGGCCTGTCTCCTTGTCCCAGTGAGAACGAAGAAGAGGTTTTCTGTCCCTGAATGGGCCAGAGAACTGTCTCCTGAAGAGAAGGAGAAGAGACTCAAGTCTTCAGGGACAATATTTCCTGATGACCGTATAGAACGGACCTTCTACTTGGCCTGCACAGGTGGTAGAAACAGGTGGTCCCTTCTCAAGGGCAAAACTAGGGCAAAGTAGCAGCGTGGAGCAATTAGCTTAAGTGGTGTGACCACGGTGACGGAGTGTCCATCAGCAGTAGGCTGAATTGCCCACTCTGCCTCCTGGTGAGGGATGGCAGCTTCTGAGGTAAAGGCTTTCTGAGCTGGTTGGCCCTTCGTACCTAAGGACAAGGAATAGCGAGGGAGGTCACGTTTTCCACTCCGGAATGTGTCTTTATCCTCCTTTTCCCCCTGGAAGAGGAGAGCAGAGAGCAGGGGCCTGTCACTGCTGACAAGCTGTGTTAGACTACAGTTCTCTGCGTGCTCATATTTCATCTTACAGACATCACCAGGGTAGAATCCTGCTTCTCCACCCCCCGGCAGCCAGGGTGCTGCCTCTTTGTTTCCTTCATTTTGCTGCTTTTGAGCCTCCTCCTGACTTTTCTTCCCTCTCCTGCAGCTGATATTATAGACCCGTACGTCCCTCCCGAGGGCGATGCCCGCTTGACTTCCCTGTCCAAAGATGGGCTGAAGCAAAAGATGCAGAAGCTGAAGCAGAGTGCTGCCTCCCAGCTGGCGTACGTACCTCCTTTTTAATTAGTCTGTGGTGCTGGAGTTTCACTCAGTTCTGTCTTGCAGTGGTGAGAGGGCACCATCCATTGTTGCTGTTGGGTATATCTTAGTGGGGGAGTCTCCAGTTCTCAGTTGCTCCGTGGTAAAAGCTGGGCTTGAACCTTCTAAGTCCCAGTTCATCTGAAACACCTGAGGTGTTTCCAAGTTGTTCTTTACTTGCTGTAGGGCTTTTCTTGTCTTTTCAGTCTGCGGAAGATAAAAGATCATGATCCAGATTTCAGCACTAAAACCTTCCCGGAGAAGGCACAGGAGATATTTATCGAAGCTCACAATTCCCTGGCAAAGTAAGACCCTTCTCTGGCTGATGGGGTTATGTAGGACCCGCTTCTCTTTGCTTGTGTGCTCTGGTTTTCATCCTTATCCTTCTAATCCTTGTACCTTCTTTGCAACAAGTACTTTATCTGTTTCTGCCCCTCTCTCTGTGAAGAGTAGAGCCTTGGAGATCTGGGCAGGGCCCTCTTGAGAATGGAAAGCGGGTTGTAGAGAATTCATTTTGACCTGACCTGCAGAGGAGATGAGCTGTTGCACCACTGGTGTTATCAGTGATGAGTGGGTGGTTGGTGCTGCTCAGAATCAGCGCTGCAGGGAATTGTTTGGCTGTGAGATGATAACTCAACTGGCTGGCTCCACTTTCCAGTAATAGAACAGATTTCAAAACCACATCGTTCTTGGTTACGATTCCAAACACCAATAAAACATTTAGATCATAACTGGCTGCCGGAGGATGATGTTGTGCCTTTCCCTGAAGTCTTGTCAACCAGCTCGTGACCGTGTTCCTGGTTTCCTGCTGAGATCACAGCTGAGAGCTTTGCTGCTTCTGTTTGGCTGGTAGATTGTGTGTGTCCTCTGGGGGAGCAGGAATTTGTGAATAACCCTCTTCCTACAGTTTGTGTGTTTGAGTAACTGGGTGTGTTTCACTTGCAGTTTCAACAAGCAGAAACTTCACTCCCTGGTGACAGAGCGCTGTTACCCAGTAAGTGTTTCTCTGGAGGTAGTGCTCCTTGGTCTTTTCTGTGGACTCTAAGACTCTAAACCTGATTGTCTCTCTCACTTTTTTTTCGGGATATAGTAAAGACAGACTGAAGGGGGGGAAAAATAGACGTCTAAGTAATAGCTATGGAAGTGGGGGAAAAATAGACGTCTAAGTAATAGCTCATGAATAAATGCTCCGTTATATATAGTAGTTTGCTTGTCGTTTAATTCATACCCTAACTAAGTTAGTGCTTTTTTAAATTTTTTTTTTATTTTATAGGAAATGGTGCGTGGGAACAGGTACAAGACCATCCGGTGGAGTTTTTTGGAGTCTCTGGAGCCTCCCAGGGTGGTTCACCTTCGCTGTGACAGCATCATCAACCGCGGTAACCTCTATGGGCAGGTGACGGTGCGGATGCACACGCGGCAGGTACGGCCCCTCCTGCTCCTTGGCTTTCCCCACTGACTCTCCAACCTGCTCCTTGGGTTTCCCCACTGACTCCCACCTGCTCCTGGCCTGACAGATGGTTCTTGGCTCTTCTTCCAGACCCTGGCCATCTACGACCGCTTTGGGCGGCTGATGTACGGGGGGGAGGAGGTGCCCAAGGATGTTTTGGAGTACGTCGTGTTTGAGAGGTACTTGGTCAACCCCTACGGCACGTGGAGGATGCACGGCAAGATCGTTCCAGAGTGGGCTCCACCGAAGGAGCCCATCATTAAGGTAAGGCCACCAGGAGAAGACACCAGGAAACGTAGATCCCTGGTTAATTCTGGACAAAACCAAAGCTCAGCTTCCTGTAAGGGGAAGGTGATGGATTAATCTGCCAGCAGACCTATTTATTAATGTGGGATTAATGGCACCACTCATGATGGGTGTCATATATTACAGCTGCATGGTGCTGGGCTTAGTCCCAGGAGCTCTTTGCCAGTTGTGTGCTTCTGTCCTAGTCATGAATGCAAGTTTTTCTGCCTGTGCCTGGTTGCAGCTGTGTTTTGTTCCATCCAGCAGCTGGATATTGCTGGAGATTTCTATAACAAAAGGAGAAGCCTGGTGTAGGTAACTGAGAGCCATCAGTGCTGTGTGAAAGATGAGAGAGAGAGAGATGGATTCTGCTCTCAACACAGCAAGTTGGGTTTGAAGCTGGCTGGTTGTTCTTGTACCTAATTTTCAGGGGTAACAGGACTTCACTGAAGTCTATGGGGTGTTTGAGGTCCCCAGCTGGAAAATTATATCTATATGGGCTTGGATTAGGATAAGCTGGAAGCTGGAGTAGGAGGCTGAGGGCGTTTTATATGTGTGTGATAATTTAGGGGGTTGCTGCTCCCTGTGTGTAGCCTGGCAAAGGGATGGAGGGGCTCTGTCTTCTTGTATTACTAAAAAAGTCCTAGAGGGGAAGGAGATGAGAACTAGAGTGTGGTACAAGGCATGTCATCCCCTTCTCCCTCTGTGTCCTCCCCCAAGCTGCTGCCCTCTGGTCACTTTGCAAGGCCTTTGTGTTGCCAGAACCCCCTCTTCACCCCTTTTTCACTCTCTGGAAGGTGAAGAATTCCTCTTAGAGCAGTTCAGAGCTCCCCTCTGTGGGGCTGATTTTCTTCCTTGCCTTTTCAGACTGTGATGATTCCTGGCCCTACCTTGAGTCCCTCACAAGATTATGAAGAAATGAAGTAGGAGGTTCCAGAGCCCGTACAGAGACGGCAGCACCAGCGACCCTGGAGGGGAAGAGGTGGAGAGTGTCCGTGGAAGGAGCAGGTTGGATACGGCTGTGCCCTTCCAGAGAGCAGTCAACAAACAAAGCAGCTTCAGAAATGGACTCCAGTCACTAAGAATTTCTCTATAAAGGAGCAAAAGGGGCCTGGGAGGGGGATTCAGATGGGCTCTGAGAAGAGCTTTACTCTGAGTGTGCTGCAGCTGAACCTTCTCTGTGTTTCCCTGGAGAAATCTTCTCTTCAGGATGGCTCCCCAGGGTGCCCTCTGTCCTGAACTTGCCTTGGCACCAGAAATTTGTCCAGACACGGGATATTTGGCACTTCCCTGGGGAGTGTCACAGACCTGGTGGCTTTCATTAAAATCTGCAGCAGTAGGTGTTGGCAGTTTTTTTTTTCCCTGTCCCCTTTCGCTCTCTGTACTGATTCCCAGCCTTTTTATTTTAACAAAAAACAGGGAAAAGCAGCGAGCTTTTATCTTTTGGACTTTAAATCAAATTCCCCTGGGTGGGTGCTACAACCAGGTTCCTGCTGAGTGGGTGCTTGTTGGGGACCAACCCTTCCCAAGCCCAGCACGGGGAGTTTAATAACATTTAACAGCGTTTGTGACAACTGATGCTGCTTTGAAAGGCAGCGTCTCCCACAGCTGATGGGTTTGGGTGTGTTTGTTAAAGGTTTGGGAGGTTGTTGGTGAGCAGCTGGCACCATCCTGTGGACACGGTGACACTCACATCGGGTCCCCTGGTGGTGCAGGTTGTGTGGGTTTAGGAAACACCTCCCCAGAGGTGACCTTTTTCCGTGCCCTCTGCTCATCCCTTCTTACGTGGTTTTGCTCAGATAAACCCCTTTATTCCCTGTCACAGAGCAAAATAGTCAGTATTCATCGAACAACGAAACATTTTCTTTTTAAACCTTGTCTTGCTCTTTAACTGGGCCGTTTTCTAGAGCTTTGGGAGAGTTAAGTGCATTTTTTTTCTTCTTCCTTGGAAGAGATTCCGCGGAGCGTGCGGGGAAGGCGTTACGGCTCCTTACGCTCCTGCAGTCGCTCAGTGCTTCTCCTGAATGAGGCTCTTTGGAGAGGGCAGAACATCATCTCTGTGCTCTGCTAGGAGAGGAGCCAGCCACGGAATCCCTTTCATCTCTTTTGGAAAGCAGGAGGCTGTCACAATCTGTCTGCCTTTCCTGAAAGAGCCTACTCTGTGGAGCTTTTCTGCCCACGCCTGGATCAGGAGCCGGAGGGAATCGGTGCCAGTTGGGCTGGAGCTAAAATCAGCCCGTGGGAGCTGCCTGGTGTGTGGCTGGTGGGACAAGGGCAGTTTATGTGGCTCGGAGGTGACTCAACCCCCACCAACAGATGAGGTTCTTCAGCTCTGAACAAAAAGAGCATGTTTTCTGCTGGAGTGGCTGGTTTTACTGGGAAAATGGCCTTTCCTTCCAGTCCAGCAGCATGGGGCTCCCCATCTCCTCGGCCAATACTCAAACTGTAACTAAACCCAGGTTTCCTTCACAGCCTCGCTGCCTTTCTGTGCTGCCTCCTCCTCGAGCACCTTCAGTCTCTTGCCCACGCCCCAAAAATCAGCCGCTAAATATGCATTTTGTAGATAATACTTTTTATTTTCTGTATGTACACTTACTTACATGGTTGGAGGGTCCTTTGATGTTCAGCGTTGAGGAGCACAGATGCACCAGGGCAACGCCACGTTCTGAGGAGGGTGGAAGTCGACACCAGAGGAATGGCAGGACCAGCCCTGAGCTCACAGGAACCCCCCTGGTTCAAACTGGGGGTGATGGCACCACTGGGGGAGACCAGCTGGGCTGCAGGAGCTCGGGAAAGCCGTTTTCCTCCCAATCTCATCATTTCTGCCCCTGGATTGACTCTCCCCGTGTGTCAGTGCCCAGCATGCCAAGGTGGTGGATTTTGGGGTGCCAGGCAAGCCCTGCCTCGCCGTGCCGGGGGGCAGGAGGTGTAAACTGTCCCCTCCCTGCATCGGTCCCCAAGCCCAGCTGGTTGATGGCCATCACTGAAGCCACCACAGCCATGGCCTTGGCTTTGGTGGACACTTCTGTCCCCATCTGGGCAGCAGCCTCCAGCTCAAGACCTTCTGTGGGTGAAAGCTGTGTCTCCTGGTGCCCAGATGGATGGAGCTACTCCTCCTCCCAGGGGCAGACCTCGGGTTTGGTGTCACTGGGGTGGGCAGCCCTGTCTCTGTCCTGGGGGCTCCCCCCAGTTCTGGGGGGGGTCAGGGGGGGTTCCACACTCTCCACCTCCCAGGGACACACCTCGGAGGTTTTCCTCGTGTCTGTGCTGGTCTGGCCAGATGCTGGTGGAGCCTCTTCTGCTTCCCAGGGACAAACCTGGGTGATGCTGGGGCTGCTGTCCCCCACGGGAGCCGTGCTCCCTCCCCGAGGCGGGGGGCTCCGTGGGGGCTGGGTGCCCGGCAGGACACGGCACAGGGGCTTGTGCTCAGCCCTGACGTCAGATCTGCCCTGGGTTTTTTTCCCCAGTGGTGGTGGAGACCTGGTGCTGGCTCCTGCCACTGGCTGGGACTTCCCTGTCCCTTGTCCCTGGCCTCTGGCAGCTCCCCGTGGGTGCACGCCTGGTTTGAGGCTTTCCTTCTCCCAGCCAGTGGGCTCTGCCACCTCCCAGGCACCAACACTGGATTTTCTGCTCTCCGTGCTCTCGGATTTCTTGGAGGGCTCTTTCCCCATCGCGCTTTGCAGGGAGGGCTCCTCCATGTCCAGGCTCTCCCAGGGACAGATGGCCTCACGCTCGCTGCTGCCCTTCTCCAGAGACTTGGGGGCACCAGCTTTTTTTGGGGGGAGGCTCGTCTGACCCAGGGCTGCTTCTTTCTCCGGCAGAGGAGCAGCCACCTCCCAGGGGCAGATTTCTGCTTTACCACCAGCTTCAAACTCCTGAGCCTCCCAGGGACAGACCTCTGCCTTCAGGCTCTCCACGCTCTGGGATTTCTTTGAAGATGATTTGGGCAGCGCTGGGCTCTTGGCACAGGGTTTTTCTGGTGTCTCCTCCGTGCCCAGGCTCTCCCAGGGACAGATGGACTCTCGGTCCTTGCTTGATTTCTCCTTCTTTGCAGATGTGCTCTCTCCCGTCCCTTTGAGGACACCCTGACTTTCAGAAGGGCTTCTGCTCCCTATGGACAGACCATCTTTGTCCAGTTTTCCTTTTTCTTTACCTGATGGTGGAGCAGCCACCTCCCAGGGACAGATTTCTGCTTTATCAGTGGGCTCGAGCTCCTGCGTCAGATCTGCCCTGGGTTTTTTTCCCCAGTGGTGGTGGAGACCTGGTGCTGGCTCCTGCCACTGGCTGGGACTTCCCTGTCCCTTGTCCCTGGCCTCTGGCAGCTCCCCGTGGGTGCACGCCTGGTTTGAGGCTTTCCTTCTCCCAGCCAGTGGGCTCTGCCACCTCCCAGGCACCAACACTGGATTTTCTGCTCTCCGTGCTCTCGGATTTCTTGGAGGGCTCTTTCCCCATCGCGCTTTGCAGGGAGGGCTCCTCCATGTCCAGGCTCTCCCAGGGACAGATGGCCTCACGCTCGCTGCTGCCCTTCTCCAGAGACTTGGGGGCACCAGCTTTTTTTGGGGGGAGGCTCGTCTGACCCAGGGCTGCTTCTTTCTCCGGCAGAGGAGCAGCCACCTCCCAGGGGCAGATTTCTGCTTTACCACCAGCTTCAAACTCCTGAGCCTCCCAGGGACAGACCTCTGCCTTCAGGCTCTCCACGCTCTGGGATTTCTTTGAAGATGATTTGGGCAGCGCTGGGCTCTTGGCACAGGGTTTTTCTGGTGTCTCCTCCGTGCCCAGGCTCTCCCAGGGACAGATGGGCTCTCGGTCGTTGCTTGATTTCTCCTTCTTTGCAGATGTGCTCTCTCCCGTCCCTTTGAGGACACCCTGACTTTCAGAAGGGCTTCTGCTCCCTATGGACAGACCATCTTTGTCCAGTTTTCCTTTTTCTTTACCTGATGGTGGAGCAGCCACCTCCCAGGGACAGATTTCTGCTTTATCAGTGGGCTCGAGCTCCTGAGCCTCCCAGGGACAGACCTCTGCCTTCAGGCTCTCCACGCTCTGGGATTTCTTTGAAGATGATTTGGGCAGCGCTGGGCTCTTGGCACGGGGCTTTTCTGGTGTCTCCTCTGTCCCCAGGCTCTCCCAGGGACAGATGGACTCACGGTCTCCACTTGATTTCTCCTTCTTTGCAGCCGTGCTCTCTCCTGTCTCTTCACGTAGACCTTGACTTTTAGAAGGGCTTTTGCTCACTATGGACAGACCATCTTTGTCCTGTCTTGATTTCTCTATAACTGATGGTGGAACTTCTGCCTCCCAGGGACAGATTGCTGCTTTATCAGTGGGCTCGAGCTCCTGAGCCTCCCAGGGACAGACCTCTGCCTTCAGGCTCTCCACGCTCTGGGATTTCTTTGAAGGTGATTTGGGCAGCGCTGGGCTCTTGGCACGGGGCTTTTCTGGTGTCTCCTCTGTCCCCAGGCTCTCCCAGGGACAGATGGACTCACGGTCTCCACTTGATTTCTCCTTCTTTGCAGCCGTGCTCTCTCCTGTCTCTTCACGTAGACCTTGACTTTTAGAAGGGCTTTTGCTCACTATGGACAGACCATCTTTGTCCTGTCTTGATTTCTCTATAACTGATGGTGGAACTTCTGCCTCCCAGGGACAGATTGCTGCTTTATCAGTGGGCTCGAGCTCCTGAGCCTCCCAGGGACAGACCTCTGCCTTCAGGCTCTCCACGCTCTGGGATTTCTTTGAAGGTGATTTGGGCAGCGCTGGGCTCTTGGCACGGGGCTTTTCTGGTGTCTCCTCTGTCCCCAGGCTCTCCCAGGGACAGATGGACTCACGGTCTCCACTTGATTTCTCCTTCTTTGCAGCCGTGCTCTCTCCAGTCTCTTTGAGGAGACCCTGACTTTTAGAAGGGCTTCTGCTCCCTATGGACAGACCATCTTTGTCCAGTTTTCCTTTTCCTTTACCTGATGGTGGAGCAGCCACCTCCCAGGGGCAGATTTCTGCTTTATCATCAGCTTCAAGCTCCTGAGCCTCCCAGGGACAGACCTCTGCCTTCAGGCTCTCCACACTCTGAGATTTCTTTGAAGGTGATTTGGGCAGCGCCGGGCTCTTGGCACGGGGCTTTTCTGGTGTCTCCTCTGTCCCCAGGCTCTCCCAGGGACAGATGGACTCACGGTCTCCACTTGATTTCTCTTTCTTTCCAGCCGTGCTCTCTCCAGTCTCTTTGAGGAGACCCTGACTTTTAGAAGGGCTTCTGCTCCCTATGGACAGACCATCTTTGTCCAGTTTTCCTTTTCCTTTACCTGATGGTGGAGCAGCCACCTCCCAGGGGCAGATTTCTGCTTTATCATCAGCTTCAAGCTCCTGAGCCTCCCAGGGACAGACCTCTGCCTTCAGGCTCTCCACACTCTGAGATTTCTTTGAAGGTGATTTGGGCAGCGCCGGGCTCTTGGCACGGGGCTTTTCTGGTGTCTCCTCTGTCCCCAGGCTCTCCCAGGGACAGATGGACTCACGGTCCCCACTTGATTTCTCCTTCTTTGCAGCTGTGCTCTCTCCAGTCTCTTTGAGGACACCCTGACTTTTAGAAGGGTTTCTGCTCCCCATGAACAGACAATCTTTGTCCTGTCTTGATTTCTCTTTACCTGATGATGGAACTTCTGCCTCCCAGGGACAGATTTCTGCTTTATCAGTGGGCTCGAGCTCCTGAGCCTCCCAAGGACAGACCTCTGCTTTATCATCAGCTTCAAGCTCCTGAGCCTCCCAGGGACAGACCTCTGCCTTCAGGCTCTCCACACTCTGAGATTTCTTTGAAGGTGATTTGGGCAGCGCCGGGCTCTTGGCACGGGGCTTTTCTGGTGTCTCCTCTGTCCCCAGGCTCTCCCAGGGACAGATGGACTCACGGTCCCCACTTGATTTCTCCTTCTTTGCAGCTGTGCTCTCTCCAGTCTCTTTGAGGACACCCTGACTTTTAGAAGGGTTTCTGCTCCCCATGAACAGACAATCTTTGTCCTGTCTTGATTTCTCTTTACCTGATGATGGAACTTCTGCCTCCCAGGGACAGATTTCTGCTTTATCAGTGGGCTCGAGCTCCTGAGCCTCCCAAGGACAGACCTCTGCCTTCAGGCTCTCCACACTCTGGGATTTCTTTGAAGATGATTTGGGCAGCACCGGGCTCCTAGGATAGGGCTTTTCTGGTGTCTCCTCTGTCCCCAGGCTCTCCCAGGGACAGATGGCCTCTCTCTCGCTGCTGCCCTGCCCCAGAGATCTCACCGGGCTGCCCAGCGCTGCCTGGCGTGTGATGCGCTTCTCCCCCTTGGAAGCCCCCCCAGGCCCCTGCTTTGCCTTTGGTTGCTCTGAGGGAGGAGCAGCCACTTCCCAGGGAAAGATTGCTGCTTTTTCTGTCGATTCGAGCTCTGGAACTTCCCAGGGACAGACCTCTGCCTTCAGGCTCTCCACGCTCTGGGATTTCTTTGAAGGTGATTTTGGCAGCGCCGGGCTCCTGGGACGGGGTTTTTCTGGTGTCTCCTCGGTGCCCAGGCTCTCCCAGGGACAGATGGACTCTCGGTCCCCACTTGATTTCTCTTTCTTTCCACCCATGCTCTCTCCAGTCTCTTTGAGGAGACCCTGAGTCTCTTTGCGGAGATCTTGATTTTTAGAAGTGCTTTTGCTCCCTATGGACAGACCATCTTTGTCCTCTCTTGATTTCCCTGTAACTGATGGTGTAACCTCTGCCTCCCAGGGACAGATTGCTGCTTTATTTACTTGATGGTGTAACCTCTGCCTCCCGGGGACAGATTTCTGCTTTATCCATCGATTTGAGCTCCGGAACTTCCCAAGGACAGACCTCTGCCTTCAGGCTCTCCACACTCTGAGATTTCTTTGAAGATGATTTGGGCAGCGCCGGGATCCTGACGCTGGGTTTTTCTGGTGTCTCCTCTGTCCCCAGGCTCTCCCAGGGACAGACCTCCTCCTTTATGCTCTCTGCTCTCTGGGATCTCTTGGACTCCCCTTTTGAGCGCTCCAGGCTTTTCCTAATGAGCTTTGCAAAGATCCTGCTGTCCTTGCTCTCAGGCTGATGGACACCCATCTCTGCAGATCCTGGTTTGTTTTCCCCTTTGGAAGTCCCAAGCGTGTCCTGACTTGGTTTTTCCTTCCCCAATGGAGCTCCGGGCTCTTCCCAAGGGCAGATTTCTGTTCTAGGAGGTGGCTCATCCTCCTCTTCCCATGGACAGACGTTGGCCTTTCTGCTCCCGACGGTTCCCAGTTGCTTGGATGCTGGTTTGGGCAGAGCTGGGTGTTTTGCCACGAGCCCCGTGCTGAGCTGCTCTGTACCTTCCCTGGGGCTGGGGGCTCCTCGCTGGTCCCCCCCCTTGTCTGCAGCTGGAGCCATGTCCCTCGTGCCCCTCGGGGCTGCTCTTTGTGGGGAAACCCCATTTTGCACCCGGGAAATTTCCCCATCCTCTAATTTCCCCGCGTCAGGCAGGGCTGTTCCCCTTTCCCAAGGGCAAACTTCTGCATCGCTGTCGGTTCCGGCCACTTCCCAAGGACAAACTGAAGCCCGTGGGCTCCTGGAGGTCACTGCCCCGTGCTGAGCTGCTCTGTACCTTCCCTGGGGCTGGGGGCTCCTCGCTGGTCCCCCCCCTTGTCTGCAGCTGGAGCCATGTCCCTCGTGCCCCTCGGGGCTGCTCTTTGTGGGGAAACCCCATTTTGCCCCCGGGAAATTTCCCCATCCTCTAATTTCCCCGCGTCAGGCAGGGCTGTTCCCCTTTCCCAAGGGCAAACTTCTGCATCGCTGTCAGCTCCAGCCGCTTCCCAAGGACAAACTGAAGCCCGTGGGCTCCTGGAGGTCACTTCTGGCAGCTCGGAGCTTTGGGGAGCAGGTTTGGGTGGGGGTCCCTCGCTGCTGGTGCTGCCCCAGGGCCGGCCAGGTCCTCCCAGGCTGCTCCCACTCTCCTGTGCCCGCAGCAAACCCAGGGATTTGGGTCTGATGCTCTTCACCCCCTTCCCCAGACCCTTCCTCTCCCCGTCCTCCCTCTCTCCCTCTGGTGGAGCCCCCTCCGTGTCCCAGGGGCAGATTTCTGACCTGAGAGTCCTTTCCCCTTCCCTGCTCTCCCATGGACAAACCTCAGCCATCCTGTCCTCCCTCTCTGAAGCCGCTTTGGGCGACGCTGGGGGTTTTGCTGGTGGTTTCTCCGTGCTCGATTCTCCCTTGGGGTGGCCACCATCCCCCTCCCCACTGCCCTTTTGCTCCCAGGGGCAAATTTCTATTTTAATTCTGGAATGGCCCTGGTTTTGCCCAGGACTGACAATTTTAATTCTGTAATGGCCCTGGTTTTGCCCAGGACTGACCTCAGTGGCCGTGCTGCTGCCTTTCCCCACCGCAGCCGGGACCACCTCCACGCTCTGGCTCTTGGCAGGGACCCTCTGGGTGCCCCGGCCCCCCACGGGACCAAGGGGTTCAGGCTGGCTGCCCCCCTTCTCCAGCCCCTTGGCTGGGCTCTCCCTGCCCCACGGGACCCCACCGTCCTCCTGGGGGGCAATCGCCTCCTGGCGCTGCAGGGCTGCTTTTCCTGCTGGGATAGCGGGGGGTCCCTGGGGACAAACCTCAGCCCCCACCTTCTCGGTGGCTGCTCCCCACACACGGGTGGTGGGTGAGTGGGGGCTGCCTGGGGTGGGTTCTCCATTTGGCTGCTCCACCTTGGTGCGGTCCTGGGGTTGGATGGACCTGCTGCCCCCATCAAGCCCTTCAGCTGGCCCGGCCACCCCTTCTTTCAGTGCCATCAGCCTCGTGGTGGCCCCAGGAGCATCCTTCCCCAGCTCTGCCATGGGACCCTTGTCCCCTCGTTGGGGAGGTGTCAGTGCTTTCCCGCTGCCGGCCACCGCTGGGGTCTCACAGGGATCTTCAGCTCCTTCTTGGTGGCCAGTTCCAGCATCCAAGTCCCCCTGGGGAGCACCGGGCTCCTCTGCCACCTTCTCAGTGTCTCCTGTCCCCAGGGCTGGGCTGTCCCACCGTCCTTCTGCCTCTCCCCCCCAGTACCCCCAGTCTGCCCCTTCCCCGTCGGTGCTGGCGTTGTTGTTGCGCTGGGGGGGGACCGTCCCCCCCTGCCACACCGGGGGGGTGGGCTCGCTGCCCGGCCTCTGCCTGCTCCACTCGGGGCTTTTGGCGGCGGGGTCTCTGCTGACCCCCCCGAGGGACACGGCCGATGTCTCTGCCAGGGTGGGCTTCTCCCTCCTGCTGCCC